TTGGAATCTTGGCGTTGGTGAGGTGTTCGGCAGTGCCCGACAGCTCTGTTACAAGTAGGCTATATCGCCCCCATTTCGAGGAAGACGAGAGTGCACATCGTCACGCTCTGCCTGCGCTGCCCGCTCAGCCTGCCCAGGGCGTAGACCTCCCTGCACCGGCAAGTTTTCTGTTGTCAGCAGATGACATCCACTACATAGCCGAAGCGGTTGGTCTCGAATGCACGCAAGGAATTGTTGTTGTCTGTGTCTTACCGGGTACGTATTTGTTGCACGTGACGCAGTGTTGTGAGAAATGAGTCGAAGGGCTGACGAGGTGCTAGAACCAAAACTGTGAATTCTTGCGTCGTAGACGTGAACCAGCACATGTACGTACGGACGAAATGTTATCGTTCCTATTCCACGATTATGAAGTCTCGAAGCTCCGTGCCTGTCCTCCCTCACAGTCAAGTGGTTTAGGTGTGGAAGCGGCTAGAGGCGGCGTACGGATCGACAGCGTTTACCGGGGAGACGGCGGCTAGGCAGATGCTCGCCTATCAAGAGCTGGCGGACAGCAGCATGCCGGTTGGCCGCCTTGTCCCGGGGAGTTCCGCTGTGCAGGTGAGAGGAAGAGAAGAGAAAGTAAGAGAGAGGGTATTTGTACTGTCGCAAGAGGGACACGTCTTCGCCCAGCTGGGTGTTTTGCCAGTTTGTCGCGGGTCCTGCCTTTCGAAGCCGGGGGGGGGTATGCAACTAGGCATAAGTGTGTGTTTGTTTGTTTCGAATGCTAGCTTCGACTTCGAATGCTAGCTTTGATGCTTGCTATAGGTTCGCTGTTAGGTTTTTTCGTTAGTGTTGATTTTCCCGCCATTGATTCGGCGTTCTCGCGGTCTGCTTCATATCGGCATTTTTTTTTCCAGCTTTTTCGTAGGGCATGACCCGCGGGTTTCGCCTTGTAGGTTAACCGCGCGAGCCAGGGCCAGATTTGTTGTCAGATCGTTCCAACTTGCTGTACCCGTGACCTACGTAAACTTTTCGTGTCACGACCTGACCCCGCGGATCAGGTTTCGACCCGTGGAAGAAGCCAGGCTAATTCCCAATTCTTGAGCTACGCTACTCTTATACACTACACACGTGCCTCGCCCGTGCCGCTCGTATTTCTGTGGAAACGTCGATAATCACAGGAGTTTGGCGTGATTGCCACAAGGGCAATTGCGGTGCAGATGGCGGTCACCGAGTTCACCGGGCCGCGCATCAACGAGGTGGTGGCTGAGAAGCGGGTGGCGGCTTACCACCGGATGGGACCAAACGTGAGTGCGAGGGAGGGCAATCGATCTACCATAGCTCGATTGCCCTCCCTCGCTCTCACGTTTCTCCAGATCAGCGGTACGCCGCCACCCGCTTGTCAGCCACCGCCCCTGAGATGCGCGGCCCCGTAAACTCGGTCACGATCATCTGTGGCGCAATTGCCATTGTGTTAAACACGCCAAGCCCCTGTGATTATCGACGTTTCTTCTAGCTATGTATGCCCATGTCGCCCTCCCTCGCTCTCACGTTTAGTCTCATCCGGCGGCACGTCGCCACCCGCTTCTCGGCCACCGCCTCTGATATGCGCTGCCCCGTAAACTCGGCTACAACGTGTTAATTGAAGTCTGCATCGCAAAAAGAGATGGACGTTGAACAGCGTGTTTTGCATACCCGTGGGCTTGCTTTTGTGAGTTTCACGAGCATCGGCCCACCTGTAGTCTACCTTGTACTTGTGCACGTCCATGGCTTTCGCACCATTTTTGGGGGACAACAGTGCGTGTTAAACGAACATTCTCGGCTTTGCCTCGAAGGCAATTTCCAGTGGTTTTGAAAAGGTTTTGCGTTGAGGAGGAGCAACCGTGATGCCCATGTGTGTATTCACGCACTCTCAGCCCAAGCTGGGTTCAGTAGGGTCCCCTGCCTTGCGTTACTTTGCTGTCAAACACATACTACGTCGACAGCAGTAGCAGCAGCAGCAGCGACCACACCCAACGTAAAACGTGTTGGGCATAGCGTGGGTGGATGGTATGATCGGGTATGATCGTATGCCGTCAATCGTAGGGGTACGCTATTTCGTCAGCAAGCTCCCATCCCCTCTCCGCTGCCGCCAACGCCACCCTTTCCCTTCCCTAAACTCCCCCGGTGTCATCGCTGCCGCAAGGATGCGTCGTGCAGCTTGGGGGAGACCCAATGTACGTGGACCTCTTGGGGAGGGGCTTCCCCGCGCGGCTGGTGAACCACGGTTGCGAGCTGAACACGTATTTGGACACGGTGAGGAGCGTACGTTAGCCAGCCGTTCGGTGTGAGTGTGCCGAGAGCTTGTTGTAAACGTGATCGAATTTGTTCTTTGCCCAGTTCGTGTATCTCTGAACAGGCGGGCGAAAAGCGCGCCCGGGAAGACTGGGTTTGGTTTTCCCTGTTGTGACGACTCTGTTGTGCTGAGAGGAGAAAGGTGAAGGGGTATTTTACTGCCCCCTGCACAGCACCCCTGCATGACAGCTTTACCTCTTCTACTTCTTGTTGGAGTCGAACGTTGGTCGAGTTTTCTCAAGTGCCCGAAAGCTCAGCTGTATTTCTCGCACCGATCAATTTCGAGGAAGCTCGCACCGTGTAAGGCCGTGTTTTACCCGACTCTTCTCCATAGACGTGTGCACAGAGTCTATCTACACCGTGATTCCTCGGGTCAGCCCGCAAACGCGGTCGATGTCGATGTCCCCCAACACGAATATGACACGCACGGCGCTCTTCTCGGGACGAGTGAATATGTCTTACCAGTAGGATGCAAGAACTAACGTCACCACACGATCCCTTTGTCCGGCAGAAAAAATCAACAGTAACCCCTTTCCATGGATGAGTCGGTCACAGTCAGAGCGGTCGGTGCTTACTTCTTTTCGTATCATGGAGTAGCTTGTTGACACGCCCCTCCCCCTCCGGCTTGTACCCTACCCGAATGTTATACTTGCCACCCTTTGTTTCGCGCAGGTCACCGTTGGCAAGGGGTTCTCGCACGAGAAGCGCATTTTCCTCTGCTCCCCAAAGGGCACAGTAGTCCCATCCTACGTCTTAGCACTCGAGTAAAGGGCACCGCGGCATTCGGCGAAACACGCTGTGCCAATCAGATGGCATCCATTCGAGGATGCCGTCATAGTTGTCATTCAGCCCGGCACAGACCGGCGCCCCGCATGTGCTCTCGTCAGAAAACGCTGGCCCCAGGCCGATCGAGCCCGCGGTGGGGTACGAGTACACAATGTGCGCGAGAACAACGTGTACTCGTACCCCACCGCGGGCTCGATCCGCCTGGGACCAGCCTTGTCTGACGAGTGCACATGCGGGGCGTGGGTCTGTTGCGGGTTATTGCATAATTGCGACATCCTGGAACGAACGGATACCACCTGATTGGCACAGCGCGTTCGCCGAATGCCGCGGTGCTCTTTTCCCGAGCGCTAAGCTGTCGGATGGGACCACTGTTAGGCTCTCGCATGACCCTCCAAAAACCGTGTATGTGCGGGTGGTCTGTTGGTTGTATGTGCGAGTGATTCTTCCAAAAAAAAGTTGAACCGACAAACCTGCTGACGCCGCCAAATCACAAGTTGACTTGATATTAAAGGACAAACTTGCAATACGTATTACTCGCACCCACATACGAATTGGCTCTTGCTACTCGAAGAAGACCTGCTGACAGGTCATATGCAGGGGTTTATCTGTCAGTTTTGCGAACTGACATCAAAAAGGCGCCAAAGACCCTAAAAACATGTGATTTTCGGTGCTTTCCACCGGCTCCCACGTACGTGCGTGGAGATTCAAGCACAATGGATTCTGCATAGCACAAAGAGACCGAAAGTGGAACAACGTGTTTTAGCGTACCCGGGCCCTTCTTTTTGTGAGCTTCGCGATCCTCGGCCCACCTGTAGTCTACCTTGTACTTGAGCACGCCCATGGCTTTCGCACCGTTTTTTTGGAACAACAGTGCGTGTTACACGAACAGTCTCGGCGGGGCCTCGACGGCAATACCCGTGGGTTTGAAAAGATTTTCGTTGAAGAGGAGCAACCGTGATACCTTCCGTATGTATTCACGCACTCTACCTTTTCCCTTCCCTGAACTCCACGGGTGCCATCGCTGCCGCAGGGATATGTCGTCCACGATGGGGGAGACCCCATCTACCTGGACGTCACATTCGGCTTGCCTTCCCGAGTCATGAAAAACTCGGACTAGCCCAACTGTTTCGTATGCACGGTGAGCAGCGTACGTTTTTTCCAACGGTTGGTTAAATAGGTGTGATGGGTGATGCATTGTTGAGTGTGCTGAGAGCACTGTGTAAACCCGATTGAATTATATTTTGCTCAGTTCGTGTAACTCTGGGTACAGGCGGGCGGTAAGCGCGCCCAGGAAGACTGGACTTCTGTTTTTTCTATTTTGTGTGTTGTGACGATTCTAATATTATGCAGTGAGGAGAAACGCCAAGGGAGGTTCCTTTCATCGCCGCTGCCGAGCACCCCTGCATGACAACAGTTTGTGTCTCGTCTACTATTTTGTTGGAGTCGAACGTTGGTCGGGTTTTCTCAAAGTGCCCTAAAGCTCTGCTGTATTTCTCGCACCGGTCAATTTCGAGGAAACTCGCACCGTGCAAGGCCGTGTTTTACCTGACTCTTCTTCATAGACATGTGCACAGCAGTCTATCGACACCGTGGTTCCACGGGTCAGCCCGCAAACGCGGTCGACGTCGATGTCCCCCAACAAGAATATCGCACTCCCGGAGCTCTTCCCGAGCAGAGTGAATATGTGGTACCACTAGGATGCGAGAAACTAACGCAACGATGCGATCCCTTTGTCCGGCAGAGGGGCTTTACAGTAACCCTTTCTATGGATGAATCGATCACAGCGGTCGGTGCTTTTTTTTTTATGGCAACACGGAGCAGCTTGTTCACACGCCCCTCCCCCTCTGACTTGTACCCTACCCGAACGTTTTCCTTGTCACCCTTTGTTTCACGCAGGTCACCGCGGGTTTCTCTCAAAAGAAGCACGTTTTCGTTTTCGCGCTGAAGGACATCGCGACTGGAGACGAACTCTTCCACGACGCCGTGGAGGGCATGATCAGCCTTTGACGGGCTATAGTTGGTTGCCGAATGCCACGGAATGCTAATGCGGGGCGTTAGTCTGGGCAGGCTTATATATGTAACTACGAGGGATTGATTCATGTACAACGATTCATATTGGCAATTTCGTTCTCTGGAGATGTCCCCTCTCTAGATATGTAGTCTATTCCTCGAGGTTGCACTTGAGCCCGCAACAGACCGGCGCCCCACAGGCGCGTATGCACAGCGCGTGCAAGCTTTGAGGATGGGACTATTCTCTGTGTCCTTTGGAGGTTGTGACGTTGGGGGGAGAGAGGGGAGGCCAATCGCGGATGGCTGATGTAGTAAATCACATGTTTGTGGTGTGGTGTGTGGTGAGGTTGTGAGAGAGGGAGTGGGCCAGCGGCCAAAAAAAGCACGCAATTCCCGCTACCCGGCAACGCCTCTCTATTTTCGCGGGCGGGTGCACTGCCTTTCAGTGACGCAAGCGGTCTTCACTACTACAGCCGAGTCTGCACATGCCGTGGAGGCTGCAAGTTTTTGGTGGTGATCGTGCCTACGTGTAGCTGTTTCTGAATTTACGTGGGTTTTTAGTTTACGCCAAAGCGATGATACTGGCGAGAACGGGCGGGGCTAGGCGCAAGTAGATAGCCGGAGGGTGGAGAAAATGGCGTTTCAAAGCTTGTGTGCGTGTATCTTCTGAGGAAGAGCTTGCTTTCGGCACCGGGGTCGCTTCGTTTGAATATCCCCACGGAGAAAGCCGAGGTCTAGGTCTCGTTGAGGCACCGCCGCGATCTCGTGCGCGTAGCTTTCGTCAGGTCAGGGAAATCGCCATCGGACTCAAAAACTCAAAGAGCATGATACAGGTTTTTTTTTGGGGGGGGCGGCATCCGCTCCTTTGAAGGAATGAAATTTGACCACGTCCTTCGGGACAAATGAAGGGCACGATTAATTCCTTCGCACGCATGTCGTCCGATGTCTTTCCTCTCCTAGTATGCATGTGTATCTTCATCCAGTTCTTTGGGGCCAACTTCGTCGCGGAAGACAAGGCGAGGACTTCAAGTAGAGTGGAACCAACCCATGCACGTGGATAGGTGATGAAAAGAGGGTGGACCGGTGCTGAAGGAAAGAACAAAAAGAAAGAAAAGCTGAATGGCCCAAAGGTGTGCGGCTATCGATCACGCGCCCTTTGAATCCGCTTGGGACTCTGCATCCGAGCATCGTCTACACCCTGACCGCCCCACATGTACTCTCCAACAGGCACGTGCAGCACACATTCCGCAAAAGAAAAGTCACTTCTGTGACTCACACGGGGTCGAGGAGTCGCATAGTCCTGGAACTTTATTCCCGGCCAGCCCTAGAGCCTCAAAACCAAATGCCAGTACGTGTTTTGTTGTTTGCTTGAACACGCGATGAATGGCCCTGCGATCCCCCCGCCCCCCCCACGCCAAACAAGCCACGGAGGCATGAACAGCCAATAGCAGCAGAAAGTGTGCCACGATGTACCACAAAAAACTAGCTATCGCAACGACAGCGGACAAGTTCTTGATTCTTACTGGTGGCGCAAGCTCTTGTCTTGGGCACACACTTTCCTGCAAAAGAAATAAACTTCACAGCGTGCAACAAAATTAGACAGCCCCTTGTGGGGTTCAAAATTCCCGACGTGGGTAAAACAAGCTTGACTACGAGCTGCTACTCCTACAAAATGAAATTGCCCTGACAACGGCATACCCAGACACCCAAGGCAGACCTTCTAGCCTGCAGTCAATCATTCAGCTTCGGAGGAAGAGGACCGCTCTCATCATTGAGCTGGTAGGCAGGTTAGCCCTATGACCTGCATAAGCAGACATCGGCCATTCACTCTCACCAACTTCGCGCACGCCTACGCGGGACGCACATCTCCTCCCCGCCCCTTTCCCTCCATCCCTCCACCTCTCTCTCCAACACATGACCTCTTCGCGAGAGAGAAGGCCATGAAATCCTGCACGCCCCTCTCTGCCCAGACCCCACCCCCTCCCTCCCTCCGACTTGCAGTAGATATATCGTGCTCTGTGTGAAAGACTCGATCGGCGTATCACTGCGGTGGCGGGGCCTCGCTGTCATCGCTCCCTACGAGTTGAGGCGGAATGAGGCCTCGCCGCTTCATCCATGCTCCCCCGTAGACCACGGCAGACGACAGCACCAAGGCTCTCGCACCGTTCCTGAAGAACGCCCGCCGTCCGGCTGGAAAGTTTTTACGAAAAATAAGAGAAAGAGCAACGTTCGTTATTTTTGTCGGTTACTGCTGTGTGGCAGAGGCAGCCACCCACACAAGCACGCTGACGAGGAACGGTATGGAACACTCTTTCTTTCTTTCCAAAGTAACAAACGAACCAGGCGAGGCTGTTGTCTACATACGGTCAAAGTGAGGTAGGTCCTTCACACGTGTCGTTTTCCGGCCCACGTAGTAGCAGTCGTTTCACGTAGCGCACCCGACGCCTGCGCGCAGGAGCATGGTTACAAGTTTTCTACCGTTCGAGAAGCGCCGCCAAAAATGACAAAATGCCCCCGTAAACGCAACAGCAGTGGCGGGCTATATCCCTTAGACCCCTTGCTTACCCATCCCGCGCGGACGGCAGAGCCACCGCAAGCATGCGCATCGCCGTTCATCACGAGCTCGAAAAACATTGCATTTCTAACAGGTGGTGATACAATCCGTGAATGACATAACACTGAAAAGCAAGAGAGCACACTCCCTAAAGAAGGTTGCCGTCTCCACATGACTATTACACAGCACTTGCAGGTGGGTAGGTGCCTAAGATAGCTTGCTCACCGAGTGCCGAAGGCAGGGCCACCGCGAGCGTGAAGCCCCCGACCACGAGCTCGGGGTGTTGTTTCTTGATCTCCGAGCATTTTGTCAGCGCTGACAGACAGAAAGAGTGCACAAAAACAAGAGAGAAACGCGACAAGGCCATCCACAAAGAAAGCGATCAACGTCCGATCATAATCGACGCGCCGATAACACGCAGAAGGCCTTGATGAGGAGGAAAGAACGATAGCAGACAGTCAGCTAACGGCGCCTGTTCATCACTCATGAGCAAGCTCCAAGCTGCGTACAAGCAGTAGCCACATTTCACAAAGAGCGAGCGAAAACAAGCAGGGGAGTGTCGACCTCAATTTGTGTACCGCACCGAAATATGAAGATATGTAGATATCCAAAACTCACTGGTAATTAGTCCTTGCCATTCGAGAAATGGGCTCCAAACATTCCACCAGCGCACTACCAACGCCCATGCCATGTTACCACAAACAACGGCCACTAACACTACGGCTACTGCTACCACGACCAACAACCGTAGCAACAATAAGAACGGCGTGCCCCTCTATCTCTCTCTTTCGCTCTCACCTCCTGATTTGTCGAACTCCTTAAAACGCGCCTGCCTCTCCTCGGCCATCTTCTGCAAGTTCTCCCTCATCTTCGTCTGCCTGCAGGCGGCCTTCTCTCGTGCCTTCGCTGTGGCGTCTTCTAGGTCCAACCGTGCCGTCTTGAACATTCTTCTCAGCGGAGTTCCTATTCATTGGGGTTTTCGTGTTGGCTCTTTGGTCAAATTCAAGAATTGGGCGAGGCAGGGAGTAAACGGTTAAGCAAGCAAGAGTGGTGCCGGCGAAGAGCAACACACTTGATCAGCAAGAAATTATAATATTTCCCCCGAGGGAAGAACACCCTGCTTAAGGCATCCAGACCCGACGCTCCGTTCTGACGTGAACAACAAACAATTAGGAGGTTCGCGACTACCACCTAAGGCATGAACGGTCGTGTTGGCTTGGTGTGGTACAGTACAGCCCCGCCCCGGGAGGATGGCTCCCTCCCTCGATGTGCCACTGCAATCTCACTTCATTTTCCGTCCATACTATAATGGGCCCCTCCCTTCCCTTTTGCGACCAACGACGTGCACACGGGCCCACTGAGTGTTATATGCACATCTTCCAATCAACCTTAACCTTTGCTGCAACTGGTTGAGAGAAAGGGTCGGTTCCAAATGGGGGTTGGGTTGCACGCAACCCAGCGGCCGGCTCTTGTCACTTCGCCAATACGGCAGTCGTTGAGCATGGACTTGCACGTTGGACTTCCTACAGCCTGCCTACCGCAGGTCAGATAGGATACCACACCCCCTTGACCGATTTTCAAGGCCAGGTTACTCCAAGACGAAGGAGATACCGAAATCAAATGACGCGTGTTCGGAAAGCTCTCGACGAGACGGTTCCAACTCCAGCCATTTTCGGCACCGCCAATACTGCTGTTTCTGCTGTAACATTAACGGAGTGATTGAGCGTTGAAAATTGAACATTGAAAATCGGTCCAGGGGGTGTGGTATCTTGTGCAACGTACGGTATCCACAGCAGCACAAGCAGTTGGTGTCCCTGTTTATTGGTGCCGGTTCATAGTGCCGGTGTTTTCGGCGGGCAAACACCGCAGCTCACAAAGTGGATCTGCACCATGAATTGTGCAGGTGCGTGCCGCGGTATACAGACTACAACTATAATACATGTATGCCGGTCAATTTTCTGTGAGGGCACATACCGGCGCTGAACAGGGACCGCTACTGCCGTACCGCATACCGGGCCTAGAGAGCAGGGATAGCAGCATGGCGATTCTGAGTCACATACAGAGAATGGGTTTGGTGGCGCTCTCGAAAGGTAGTACGTTCAATACCGCTACTGCTGTGCGGCTCCATCCTTCCCAGGGCGCACACATCCTGCACGCTGCACAACAAACGTTATTGCTTGCCGCAGACTAATCACAGAAACACATTGACCTTGGACTTTTGCAATGACTAGACCGAGGAAAGCACGACTACGCAGACTACCCCACATGCCAACAAGCGAGGCTGGCCAACATGACACAACACACGACACACTTCACCTCGGAAATAAGCCCGCTCGTTGTCTCCCTATAGGAATGGTTTGTCTTCAGAAGGCTGCTGCTCACAGCTAAATTACAAACTTGAACCGACCCGACAGCAGTTTGTTCCTCTATGAACCGCGGCAAACATTCTAAAGAGGTACATGCGTCACCCGCAAGTAAACTCTATACCTTGATCTTTCCATTCGCCCAACGTTTGCCCGGCCATTCCCATCCCGCCGGTAATTGTCTGAAAGCCTCCCTTCAGAGTGTCTAAAACGCCAGGAGAAGAGGTGGAACCACTCGTCTCCTCTTTCGCGTCCGTTGCCAGCTCCTGCACCTTTTCCTCCAAGGTTTCGGCGACGGAGCCGTCCTCTTTTCCTTTCTTAGCCATGCTTCCGTGTTCTGCCGTGTGCACGATTGCTTTCACTACTGCTGTTGTGCCTGCTGGCTGAGTTCGGAGCTTCTGCGCTGGAGCTGACTCTCTCGGGGTGCTCCGCAATATCAAGGCAGGGATGTGGCATCACGCCGAGCCGCTGTCGCCTTGTGTCGTGGGCAATTTCAATTGGTCGCGGGATCCATCAGCACTTCGTGGTCTACTTGCATCCCCAGGTCCCCCATGGAGACGTTGCGTGGCCCAGGCCATCGAGTGCTCATCGTAAGAGCGTCGAAGTAGAGCCATAGGGAGAGAGAATGCGCATGTTCCCGAGGGATCATGTCGCCGCCGCTGTGGATATCGGATATGTCATGCGTACCAAAACCCGGTCCAATCCTATATCGCTCGTGTATCTACATCGTTGCTTGTATCCTCTGAGAAACACACATATATGCAAGCATCTTGTTTCTCTCGGGTAATCGTAGTAACCTCTGTCCAACTACCTGCATTGTTCCCTATAATAAGCTTGACCTTGCTTCTCCAATCGACCGTTTTGGCATGATGCGGCAGGCAGCAGCCTTCTTGGTCTTCTTCGTCTTCTTCGTTGAGGCGTCTTCAACAGCCACCGGTAGAATCGACTCCGGTACTACTACTGCAGATGACTACGACATCCACGTCCCGCTGTCGGCGACACCTTTGGGCGTCAACGTCGGACACGCTCTCGAGATACTGAGCTTTCGGAGAGATAGAATCGGCGAGCTACCGTGGGTAGCTCGTCGGGGATTGTTGGTGGTGGGCGACACGCTTGTTGCTCTCGAGGGACAAAACACGTCCGAGGTGGGTGCGCAGTAAAGGGACTAGAACCGTGATGTGAGAGGACACGGGCTTGTAGAGGGGATTCCCTTGTCGAGTTGTTGCACGATGTCTCTCCATCCCAATGAACGATGTAAAAGGCTTCTTCACGGACCACACACACCGATAGTGCCAAATAGCCTATGTTGAGTGTGGCCTCATGTGAGCTCTACAAGGTCACCCGGTTTTTCCTTTAAGATGGAAGTTTATTCCGCCTGCTGGATATGCCCGGACCTCGAACGTGCCTCCGCGTATGCGATGCGTGCCGCTGTACTTCGCCCGGTTTCTCCTCTAAGATAGCAGGTTATTCCGCCTGCTGAATATGACCGGACCTCGAACGTGCCTCCGCGTATGCGATACGTGCCGTTGTAGTTCAGTCCCGGGGAATTCGCAGATGTCATGCAGAGAGTCGTGGAGTCAAAGCGGCAGGATGCCGCCCAGCGCCAGGTCGGCGAGGACGACGTCGGGAAATTCATCACACTGAGAGTTCGACCGGGCAAACAACCGGGGCGTGTATCCCAGGGACACGGCATGTATTCACCAATGACCAGGGAAGAAGCTGAGCAGGTTAGTTCGATTTTGGGGCGTATTGGGGAGCTCGACCGAGGCGATACGCGGATGTCTTCTGACTCGCCTTGCAACATCGTCCGGGTTATGTGCGCGTTGGAACCAAAGAGTCGCCTTCTGTGCGGTTCTGCTGTCCCTAGGTGTCGTGTGAAATCTTACCACACACCCCTGTTGCCTCTCTCCTGCTGAAACTGCCCTCACTCTCACCCTTCGCGACCGATACACCCTCGGCAGGAGCAGGCACGGTGGCACCTCTCCTTGTCCACAGGCCCGCTTCCCTCAGGAACGGTGGACGTGACGCTGGCGGCCTTCGGTGGCGAGGCTGGCAGCTGTGCCGCTCTCCCTGTTGTTTCGGCGATCCCAGAGGATGGCTGCTTGCCTCTCCTCAACGCGCAACAGGTGTATAGGGAATAAATACTCGGCGAAACTTCCATCCTATTACGATCGGGTATGACCTGCATGGTAGCACCACAGTGTGCGGCACCGCCGCTGACCACGACGATGGCGATAGGATCAAGCTCACCTTGGGTCCTACGATCAGTGCTCGAAACAGTGCTTGGGGCACCGGAAAACCTGTGTGGACGCAGACGCGAGACGATCGTGCTCGACGGGCAGGAATGATCACAAGCGGTTCGATCTCTGCCAATAATGGATGCCTTCTTGGACAAAAATCCCAAGACGGTGTGGTGTCGCTTATTCTTCCGTGCCCATGTTGTTCGTGTTGTGGCGTGCGTGTATCAAGGTAAAAGGTGCGCACGTCCTCGTCCGTCGGGGACGCTGCAGCTTTCTTGCGAAAGCGCTCGCAGTCAGCAACTCTGGCGGGGCAAGCGTGGTTGTGGTCGACGAAGGAGCCGGGCGCTTGAGGATGGAGGCAGAAGAGGGGCAAACTGTCGGCATTCCCGTCGTGATGGTGTCGAAACTGGATGGTAAGCTTTCGGCTACCTGTAGGACCCCGAGGTGATGGCGTTACACGAAACGAAAGTAGGCGCATCGACTTCGTGTTGGCCGAAAGTTTGGGGCACAAGTCTGCACCCGATGTGTTTCCCTCTCAGCGCAAACTTCTGCCTGTGCCGATGGTGTGACTCTTTTTTGGTGATTGCGGCGGGAAAGGGGTGGCACAAGTGCTTCATTCAATGGGACACTACCACCCACGCACATTCCTTCTCGGTCGCCGTTCATAACCCTTGAACCGGCTGCGCGGTTTGGTGTACCAAAACGAAAGCCCAGGCTTAGAGTGCCAAAACGAATGCACACACGTAACCCCTCAGTTTCACTGCATCCCGTCTGTCTTGGCGCAGGGGAGGCCTTGCAAAAACTGGCGGCCTCGACCTCCCGCGCCGCAGGAAAGGTCGCCGCAACGCTCGTCATAAACGCGGCGTGTATCCATCGTGGCGAACCAGCGCCGACACCTCGAAGAGAAATATCCTCTCAGTTGGCGCGGGGTCGGCGGCTTCCTATCCCTGGGGCCAGGAATCTCGCCTCTGGCGAAGAAGACAAGGCACCTACCGATGATAAAAGAGGCCCGCCAGCGATCGAAATAGCGGCGGGGGAGAAAATCAGCAACCAGCGGGGAGATGTTTCGCAGTCGTTGGTTGCGACACCCCCAGACCAAGCGCAGGTGGGGGTTGCTGACACGCCAGCAGCTACCTGGGCCGACGCCCAATTGATCACAAATAGAGGCGGCGAAGAAAATCGGGGAGGGCGGGAGGAAGTGGAGGAAGAAGGGGGGAAGGAAACCTTGACGCTGCCAGAATGTCGGCAGAGAAACTCAGGCCAGCTCCGCGGCGGCGACTTAACGTGAGGATGCACGACCGAAGGATCCCTTTCGAACGGCGTAGGGTACTATTTATTGACCCTCTTGAAGGATCACGCCAGGAAGATGTCGTCACATGTGTTTGAATTTGTCGACGGTACGGAGGCATCGCAGTCACGCTTGCGTCGCAGTTCTTGTTGGTGGTCGGAGGAGGGCGTCTGGCGTAGTTGGGTGTACCCCCTCACCCCATTTGAAAAGGATGGTCTGAAGTTCATAGTCGGGAGGGGATGTATCGATGACCCTCAAAGAGGGGTACATCGACAGCGGCAGGCTTTCTTCACACTCTATTCTTTTGAGTCGTGTGCGCGTCCTTGAGTTATCAGACGACTCGCTGGGGTGAAACCGACGAGTTCTTGAGCATCCCCTTCGCTTTCCCCTCTGTTCTTCCTTGTCCTTCCTTGGGCCACGAAGACTACACACAACCGCCAGGGAAGGACAAGGAGGGGGAAGAGGAGAAACAACAATTACAGTGGAATTCTTGTCCACGTTTGTCACCGGCGCGCTCGCAATCAGCCCTCCGAACTCGGAGGAGGAGCCGACGACCATCCCCGAAATGGACAGTCCGGGCAATGGCACGACCGCGACCGTCGCCATCCTTGGCGGCCCCTACGACAACATACGTTCACCGCACGAGGTGTGACAGTTGGGAGTACGGAGGGGACATGCTGGAATACTCTTAAGAGATAACCCCTATTTTCGACCGTCCTCGCTTCCTTTGTTTCTATTAAATGGGTTGTGGTAATCAACTCTTGAGTGTGGCATTTTGTCGTCAGAACGGTGTAGATGTAGTTAGTGATGCTTCAGTCGTTCTGGTGCTTCCAACCATGACTTCCCTCCCCCTTCGAGGAATCCAAAAACGACACACACCCACAATGGTTATGGTCGTTGCAGCAACACACAGAGTTGCTCATGAATCCCGCCAACTGTAGAGTTCTACGGCCTGTAACTGTCTTGGTGTTGGCGTGAACTCGTGGGTTCCGACCCTGTAGCAACGTATCGCACCGCATCCGTTGTACATACTCCACACTAGCTGTCGCTTTGTGTGCATGTGCCCGACGGCCTGCGAAAACAAACGCATCAACCCTCATTGCATGCGACGTTCTCCCACACGTGTACCTCAACTGGGATCCGAGAAGGACGAGACAACGTCGCCAGCGTTGTCGAAAATGATGGGCACAACGGTTCTGCTTCTCCCGCCAGACCCGGCCTGCTCCATCGAGAGCCAGGTCAGGCTGGGGGAGCAACTCGGCGCCGCGCTTCTGGTCGTCCTCGCCGAGGCTTCCGACGACGCCAACATCATCGCCGCCGTATCTTCAGCGACAGTGATCAGCGCGTTCGCTGGCGGTCACGACGGCAGCAGCAACGGTTCGTTGGCGTTGCCACCAGTGCCGACGCTGGTGCTCGGTGGACCTGGAGGGGGAGACCCGCACGAAATAAGCAGCGACCAATCAATGCACAACGACAGCAGCAGCAGCAGCAGCAGCAGCAGCAGCAGCAGCAGCAGTGCCGGCCAGTCAGGCGGTGAGCGGCGATTGCCGTTGGGGGGCGAACGAGAATCGTCCTCCAGAGCGGTAGACGGCTGCCCTCCGCTGACGATCATCGTACCCCACGATGAAGGCAAGCGCTTGTTGGGGTGGGTGCTCCGAGTCCGCGGTGATGGTGGGGATGGCAGCCGGAGCGGGGGAGGCAGTTTTGGTGGTGACGGGGGGGGCGTGGTCACGGTGGATATGGTGGAGCGAGATGAAGTGGGAAAGCGGTGGGGAGATGTGCTTTGGGCCTCGGACCTTACGAACTGGCCCAAAGGTAAGGAAGTGTGTTGTCCAGCGTGGGGTGTTCTTTTTCGTCGCCGCGTCTCCCTATTGTATTAGGACGCATTTGAGATTGCACGGTATGGTGTTATGATGTCGCCCAACGTGATTCAATACTATAGACTAGGCAAGGAGACCGTGTTCGATCCGGCGGGCGGGTATATCTTCATCACGGCCTAAATCGTACGATCAAGAGACGATTGTGACGAAAGTGTTGGGCAGACGGAGATTGACTTGCCTCGTCAAATACGATGTGCGCAACAGTGCCGATGTCAGCTACCTGACCAACGGGGATGATAGCGGGACACCGGGGGCTACCGACTGCAATGCCACCGATACACTGTCCCATGACCCCCCCCCCACCCCCCCCTTTATCGCTCACTTGCACAACGAAAAATTCACACGACGAAAACAACGACCGACCAAGGGTCCAAGCAGCGACGGCGGATCCTCAACCGGCTGCGAAAGACGCACAGCCCCGAGCACGTTGGCAGGGACGGCGCGTCATCTAGGACAGAGAGCGTGACCCGCTGGTCCCTGGTGGAACGCGCGTACGCCGCCTTGCAGGGCACCGATGATGCGGGTGATTCCACCAAACCGTCGAGGTTGCACCCTGGGGTTGACGTTGATGACACCACGGAGGAAGACGATGCTCGATTCAACTCAAATAGCATCGCGGCGTTTGACACAGAACTGTAGGGTCTGCGCTCAGTGGAAAGACAAGTCTCCAAAGTGTTTTTCACGATGACAAGAATCTCACCGAACAGGGATGCGAGCTTATGGAGAAGTTGCTGTCGATAGATGCATACGCTACCAGTGCCTGCGACGGGCGTTTCGTCTCCGCGATCGGACAGCTAGCGACAGGAGGGCGCGTTTGCGTTGATCGGCAAACTAAAAGTCTCGCTTCACTGCAGTTATTTTCTTTTCATGTCATTTGTGTTGGACGTCGGTCTTCACACCTTTCGGACAACTTTTCTGGTCGCATCAGGCGGGGTAGCACACGAGGAAGGCCACGCCACAGAACTGCGCTAATAGGCTCGAATATTGCGTAGTGATACCGGTGCGCACTAGGCTCGAATACTGCGTAGTGGAACCCGAGACACACCCCTGCTCTGTAGCACTCCTTTCCTATGTATCCTGTGCTTACGGTTGGCTCTGCCTGTTCTTCGATGCTTGCTCTCTGTACACTCCCGACATTTTCCGTTGAAAGGGAAAGAGCCTCCATAACTGCTGCAAGGCCTACGAGTGTTGTTTTGTCGTGTGCCCTTTCCTGCGGTCGATGGGGCCAACGCCGAGGTGTTGCGCCTTGCCTAGCTCGCTCGATACACGGAGCCCACAGCTCGAACACTGCTGTCCCGTCCTCCTTGGGCTTGTGGCACACAGACAGCTGGCAGTCAACGCGGGGACATGTACCCCGTGACGTCATAACACAACGAAAGCTTGCCCTCAGAAAAAAATTCCAACATCACCCTAATACTATCAGTAGTAATCTACATATATCATCGTACAAATGTCATCGTATCCACACAACAACACCACAAGACTACGCAAAACCGCGCCAAAGAAACAAGACAACCTCCTCCTCCACAACGAACGACAACTACAACAAAACTTCGTTTCCATCCCTACCGACACCGCCAGGCGAGCGCCTTTCTAGACCGAGCCCGTAGGACGGCTCCGCCAGCCTCCACGTCGCGGTCCTACCGAACCCTCTCTCTGCGGCTAACTCGTGCGCCAACAACGTGCCCTCTACCCTGTACACTCCGACAAATGTACATGTGTTTTTTCCAGCAGCCGACGGGGAAAACAACTAACAAGGGGTGAGAATATCCACGGGTGCGAGGAGGACGACGAATCAGTCAACCCCGCCCCAGCCCCGGAACAGCTACAAAACGTCACGAAAAAAATAAAGTAAGACTGGTCGGGTCAGGTCAACCGGCACCAGAGCATTCAACCAGTCATCCCAGAGACGTCGATACGGCCCTCTGTCTGCGCCGCCCCCACGGGCATAACGGATGCGGCGGCGGCGGCGGGTTCTCTAGGCGATGCGAGTGACCCCGTCGCTGCCGCCGCCGCCGCTGCTGCCGTGATCGCGGCTGCCACGGCTGGCGTCGGTGTTCCATTGTTGAGCTTCACTCTTTTGGCGCTCGAGTCCTCTGCCCATCGGTCTGCGCGCGCGCGAGGGGGGGAGGTGCAAGTAGAAGTCAAACAGCGGGGGGGAGGAGGAGGGGTGTACTCATAGTCGTGCATGCCGTAGTCGTCAGACCATTGACCTCGCATCCCTACAAAGCCGGGACCGAGCACGCCGGGTTCTCACCGGACCAGGCTCTCACATCACCAAGGGCGAAGCGCCGTGAGATATTCGGCGAGTCGCATGAAGGGTGCGCTGCATCCTGCTAAGGGTTTTCGGCATCTTGTGCTTACTTCCTTGCGTACGGATGACAGCTGCGTATGACTTAATTTATTTTCTGGTGCTTTCACTTCCAGAGACAGTTGTAAGCACTGTGTAACTGCCTCGAGGGTGCTTGACCATTTTAACACAACGTGGTGCGATCATCCCCCTTGCGCGGAGTGAGGGTTCTCCACCCCGCACAACATGATCTACTCGACCACCATTATGGTTACCGCCAAAAAAAAAAACGGAGGTAAAAAAAAAAAACGGTAACCTGGTTGCCGAGTTCACGAAGTGAATTGGCTTGTTTTACAACGTCGTTGCCAAGCGACGAAAACCCAACCCCGATGGCAAACACCGCGGGGGGGCGGGGGGGCGTTAATTTAGCGGTTATGGACTAATGACCACGCGTCCTCGAGAGGACAGAGCATTGTTCGGGACCGATCACCGATGGCCAATCGTTCCTTCCTAGTTCGCCACAGGTGGTTTTAAAAGGCCTTCCCTATCCTACCTATCGTGTCCTATTGATGCCGCTTCCAGCTTTTTCAGGCCACTTTCTATCCCCCAATCTAGCTACCGTCCTGGTCCGTGCCTCAAACATGGCTCTGTACCTTGCTGCTATTTTTCCCAGCTAAGTCATGTACAATTCTTTTTTCGTAAAACGGAGTTTCTTTAACTACATGAACCCGGTCTTTGCACTCGGAGCCATATTCACGTTTGAACTTGTGGTTATCGTCTACGTTCTCGAAGCCCAATGTCCCCAGTCCTAAACTTGACCTTCAGCTTTGTCCCTCATTGGTCCATGTATACTCCTTGAACACTATTCCTTCTTTCGCCATTACGACAAAGTTCATCACTTTCAAGGCCACATGCATGCGGTTCCCACCGAGTAGTTTCCACGTATCGATGGAGACTGACCATACTGTTTACATTTGTACCACAAGTGATGGACAATGACGAGAGCAGTGATTCGCTGTAACGCGTCCGTTGCAACCTACAGATACGTCGTCATCTTCCCCTTCGGGACCCTACTTCTTCGGCTTGTGGGCACGCTTCAGGACCCTGCGGCGCTCTTCGTTGTACACGGACGCGGACAAAGGAGTCGGACGCCGCCTCAAGGGTCAGGCCTCGGCTGCTCACCTCCCCCTCTCGACACAAAGCTCTCGTTCAAGGCCTCCTCGATCCCCACGGCTAGAGCCTTCATTCTGGGGCCCTCCTTGTTCCACTCCGGGTACCTGCGTCACCCCCCCCCACCCCGACAAAAAACCGTTATGGAGTGTGTCACAACATGATGAGAGTCCCGAAGGAGCCCGGATGACGACTTAACGCTCGAGTCGCCCTTGTCGGAATGTGATATCTACGAAACCCGCGGGTCGAACGATGACGGCACGTCCACGGTCATGACTGCGTTCCAAGTTCCAACTCCCCCCTCTGCACGGCAAAAGCGCGCACCCTCAACCGAGATAGAGGCGGCTGGTTCACTTGGTAGGGGGCACACGGGTATACACCATACCATACTTCAGGACTCACAACTAGGTTGGTTGCGTTTGGGGACTACAAAGCATTGGCTGACGGACGTGGAGGTTGCCCTGGAGGGCGTACAGGTTGGGAAGGTGCTGCTATTGTTGAAGCTCTAGCTCTTGTGACGGGTATTTTGATATAACACCAGTCGAGTGCGGTACCGCATGTCCTTGTCTCGCCACAACGGCTGCTCCGATCTGGTATTGCCAACATTCCTCGCTGCCGTACTGCTGTGCCGCGTTGGCTTGCCCGTGGGCTCACTGGTACTCCGACGGGCAGGCCAACGCGACACAGCCGTACGGCGTCGAGGAACTTTGGCAGCATCAGACCAGAGCGGCCGTTGCAGCGAGCCAAGGGTATGCGGTGACGCACGCGACTGTTATCAAAAACACCCGCCCCCCAAGAGCAAGTTCAATGACAGCATTACCTCCCCCCCCCCTCGGTAGCGTTTGTAACACACGACTACCACCCTCACCCAACAAGGGTATGCGACCACCTCAGCCTCAAGGCTCGCGTGATCCTAGCAGAGTCCACAACCGGCAGCATGCTAGGCAGTACTCTCAGGAGACAGGAGCCAGACTTGCAACCCGGACTCGCTTCTGCATACACATTCGCCAGAACTCACGACGCTCAAAAAAACACTTGACAAGCTTCAACACACAGAACCCACAGGCACGCACAAAAACTGGGCTCTTAACGTACTATACTACTCACGCTTGCATGATCCAGTTTTGCACGTCTCCGCTAGAGAGCCCCCCTGACGCCGCCGCAACCGCCGAAAGCTCCCGACTCCTGAACGCCTGGCAAACCATGTCGCCGAACGAAACCGTCGCCGGAGCTGGCGCCGGCACGGCTGGATTTGCGACCGCCGCCGCCGCCGCTACCGTCGTAGCCGAAGGGGCCACCACAGCAGTCGTTACGCTGTTTTCTGGTGGCAGCCCTTGTGACGACGGGGGAGCTGGCCGACTGTCGAGGGGCTTCCCCTGCTTACAGCATCGCACCGGTACGCAAAGATGGTAGGAATCGGACGGACGGGGGGGATAAGCGTACCCATTTGTTTTTGCAAGCTTTAGCGGTTAGCCCATTGACCACGCGTCCTCGAGAGGACGGAGCAGTGGGAAGGGGGTGGGAGAGGTGTTTAAACAAATCGCTTCCGGAGTATCATGAGAGCAACGATGGCAAGATCGTACAGGAGCGATCCGTGAAGCTTCATACCCCAGAGAGAAACCTCTCTTTCGTGAAAAATCGAACCAGCACGCCCGCGCTGGCACAGGAGGTGCCAATGATTCATGCACCACCCGTCCAACGAAAGAGAACCAGCCCAACCACACAAACCAAACCAAACCAAACCACAACCAACCGCGGTCAATCGCAACGAACTCCAATAGTCAAAACCAAACCCGAGACACACAAGCAGAACCCGATCAGAGGTCGCGAAAATCAGACAACACCCCCGCACCAATCCCAACGGATGTCAGCATCGTCTTGCGTTACCTGTGGGGTCGATGCCGCGGGGGGCGGGGTCACTCGCGGGGCCGCGGCAGCTGGGGCAGGCGCCGGTGCCGGCTTCTGTGCCTCTCTCTCCGGCAGCAGGAAGTACATGGACGCTGGCCCGAGCTTGATCGGAGCGCGCGACTCGAGTTTCTCTGTGATGTCAAGAGAAAAACAGGGGGCGGGGGGTGGGTGGGCGTAAGGAGGGAGGCCTGGGGAAATAGTACATTCACCAAGGTTGGTGCCAGCAGCATAGTTTAGCGTTGTTGTGGAGAACATAAGCGGGAGAGCCATGACGGCCAAGGGGTTGACCGTTATTGCCTTTGAAAGCGTGCGGAGCTAACTTTACCGGGAGCTTGTACATCTCGTAAGGCAAGACTTGTCAAGACGAAGGGTGGACAGCCGTCCGTGTGCACCAAGCCCATTCAGCTAGGCCACGAGAGCAATTCCCACACCTAGCACGCCTGGCGTTTGCTTGTGTTTTGACAAATGATAACCATCAGGGCAAACTGAGCTTGACCCACAGAACCCCAACATAAACAGCTCTCCCGCCACAAGTCGCACCATGGTTTAGGCGAAGAAGACCGCCAACAGAGTGCGACAGAAGGTCAAGGCTTGCGTTGAGCTCCACACCTCAAGCAACACCCGTTTGGAACGGCCGCCTGCTTCACGCTCGGTGGACTTGTACAGTCGTGGAGACTATGCCAGGCATGGAGAAAACGCCCAGAGGAGCCAGACACTGTTCGGAACTACCAAGGCCATCTTGATTCCCTGGCATGACTGAAAAAACAGCGCCAGCTCAAAACACGCTTCCCATGTCCTAATACAACAGCAGTGTAATACCCGAAAAAATGCTTCCCCGTCACCTGTTACACTGAGGATGCATTCGAAGACAAATGGGGGTGCATAAAAAGCAGCAGAACAGACGTTTCCGTGGTGCGGAGCGTTCTTCTTTTTACCCTTCGCCTATCTCTTCCTCCCTCTCACCGACACCGCCCTTCGCGTGATAGCTCCCGGCGACCACCATGCCGTTCTTGCTCATGCACTTGATCTGGTACGACTTCTGTGAAGGTACCCACGTGATGACGGCTGGTGTTTTCGCGGCCGAGAGTTGGTACAGATGCGGCACGCGAGACCCGCCGTCGCACGGCACGGTTCCGATCGGCCCGGCCCATGGGAAACCCGTGGTGTATTAAGAACAAAACGAGCAAATAAAGCGAAGAACAAACATGAGGGCAAGGTGGGAGCAAGCAAAGGTAGATAGCCGTTTGTAGCACCGCCGCAGCCAAAAGAGAGGGCATATTGCGGGCCCTCCATTTTCGATGTGTTGGCGTTTGCGGATAGAGTGAAAGGGGTGGCGGTTAGGGCCAGGTTCACCGGTCCGATGTCAAACTTTCACCCCAATGAAAATGAAGAGATCCATCCCTACATGATCGTTTCCACCGTCCGTGCATCATGTGGAGTTGTCCTTTCGTATATATACTCGAGGGAAAAGACCTAACATGCGCCCTTGCAGGTAAACGCCTCGGTAAGCACGGCGGTAGGATGCCCCCTCTGGATTTCATGGTGTGTTACGCGCACGTGCGGTCTGCCTGCACCCTCCCCTGGCGCGTCCCCGGCAAGCGGGAGCACAACAAAGGATATGAACCGTAAAATTCAAATTTTGACACAAACGCCACAGCAGCTGGAACACAACAGGGGAGAGCAGCTGTAGTGTGGGATGTCAAACCAAGTACTCCTTGATCAGATTCGAGCCTCGACTTCCACAACCACCAAGACAGATACGGATCCACCCCGCACCCCGCACAAAATGTTACGATGCTCTCTCTGACGATAGCCACAGGGCCAACACTCTCACCCCTGTACAACGTGACAATCCGCGTGGCCCCCCGTTGGAAAAAAAATCGCACAAAACAACCGAGCTTTGCTCGATATTGCAAGGTATTATTGTTTTCGCTCATCAGTCATGAAGCACAGCAGTACCACACACACGCACAAAGTTTATGGCAGCAGGCGACCGACTCTGAGCGAGCGGCACTATGGATACACCTAGACTTCTTTGATACTTGAACCAGACAGAGAGCTGGCAGCTGCGCACACGAGGTCTGATCAACTCAGTTGCGATCGTTCCTACACCCGTTTTTGACTCGCCAGCGGAATACTTTCACTGGCCCGGGCAGCCCAAACGGAATGCAAAGCTCGACCGGCGGAAGTTACCGTGGTGTCCACAATGAAAAGGTTAACGGACTCGCACCCCCGAGAGCCTGGTGCTCAACCCAGCAGCAGCCCAAAAGAGCCGAAAACAACATGCTGCGCAGCAATAACAGAGGCACACCAACAAGCACCAAACACAACGACTCTGCTCGCACGAGCAGGAAACTAAGGCCCTCCTCTCTCTCCTCACCATGCTCTCTCGACAGAGCCTTCGAGCGACCCAGGTCGATGAACCCCGCGCTCTTGCGCGCTCCCTCTGTTGCTTGAGATCCGCGGCCCAGGGTTGATGGGAGCTGGGTAACATATGTGTGGAACGGCGCGCCGTCCAGCTGGCCCCACAGCTTCGCGAAAGCGCAGGGCTCGTCGTCCTTGCTAGTGGCAGTATCCATCCCTTGTGTGTTCTCGGGGGAGGGAGAGAGAGAGAGAACCGAGAGAGCAGTGCAAGGTGGCAAGTTGGCTCCGCTTGGCCTGTGCTGTGTCCTGTGTGCTTGTGCTATGACACCATCCTACAACTGACGGACCCCCTACCCCACGAAAGACGAAACGCAACTGCGCGTCCCCCGTCGTTGTGTCGGTTCGTCCCCAACCGCCTGATTCTGAGTATATCGAAGCTGCTGTACTCTGCGATGTTACGTGCCCACGTGTTGGTGTTCCAGTTCCTTGATACCATGTCTATGGCTGTACACGCTGCAAGTGTTTTTCGTTTTGAAAAATGTGGCCGTGTTTTGAAGTGTCAGGCGTTTCAGTCTTCTTTTGACTTGGGCGGTCGGACATGAAAAAAAGTCTAGAATCCCGTGAGAATATAGTCTAATAGCTTATATGAAGCAGCAGTCAGCAGCGGTGATGACATATGTTTGTTGTGCACAAGTGCGGTGTGCGCCATCTTTTTGTGCACGGAAGTCTTGGTGAACAATACTTTACAGCAATGCTCTGTCGCGCAGGCCCGCTCTCGTATGAGACACATGCTACAACACCGAGCAGAGATGTTCGAAAACACGACAAACAACGGGCACCAGCTCCACACCAAATAAATCTAAGAAATCGAGTACCAGGTATGATAGAAGTAGTTGAACTCGTGTGCGCAATCTAGTCTCGATACTAAAGGCTTTTGAGCCTTGCGAAATAGAATAGATAGGTGCTTCTTCCGAGCTGGCCCGCACTATATATACATCACGGCCAGCCCAGCCCGTGCGGCCTCGAGCGGTGCGTCCGACCCAGTTCCGAAAGGTATACACAGGGTATAAACAAAGCTGACATCCAAACATAAGTAATTGAACGGGAACAACAAACAAGAACAACATCACTATCACCATCGTTGTTCGGGCTGTAACAAGGCTCGAGTCCACCATGTATCTACGACTACTACTACAATATGTGGTACATACTCAAATGTTTCCAAACACGGAATACAACGTCCCTTCCGAAAGTATTCTCGGCGTGGCGTCCTTATATATAACCGCAGCGGCAAATGGCGAAAACAAGGGGTGAGTGCGATCTTCTTTCCTCGTCCCCTTCCCTCGCAAGCTAGAACCAATCGTCCGATAGCGCTGCTCGGAGCAGGCGCTGGGACATCTTCATCCCGCACCGTTCCACCTCGTCTCGGAACTCGTGGCACATGCTAGCGTCACGAGTGGTGCGAATGCAAGCGAGGAGCTGCCATTTTATGGAGCCAAGTGCCGGGGATACATGGGTAAGGAATGGTACGTCGGGCGAAGAACGTGCGGGGAAGAAGAACAAGGGGGCGGGAGGGGCGGGGTGAGGCTGGGCCCACCGGG